CTGTGCGTAATTTCCTTCATTCTTATTCTTCTTCCTTTTGACTGGTTGTCAGTATTCAGCTTTAACTTGATCCAACCAGGAAAACAAGGAGAAACAATCTCTGGTGGGCGCAAGAGAGTGCAATGTGGCAATGTGGAGACTCAAGCGTCTGCTGCGCCGCAGGGAAATGGTCGGAGGAGAGCAAGGCTGGAGTTAGAGGGTGTCACAGATCAGCCCGCTGCGACCCGCAAAAGAGCGGAGGAGGCGCGGCGACCAGAGTGGACCATGAGCAGCACCGTAAGGGACATCCTGCAGGAGGGAGGCACTGGAATGACCAACATGAAGCTCAATGATTTTCTTTGGGATTATGTTGGCGGCGGGGCAGCCGTTGATGAAGACCACAATCTTACGGTGGAGGTGTTTTTCCATAAGCCGGACGATTACGTACAAGACCAGCAGCCTTTTGATGAGATTCATAATTTAACAGAGTACCAAGGGCTAGAAGGGAGGGGGATACTATTGGAGGCTACTACTAAGCTTGAAGAAGAAGGCGTGTTTATTCTTAAAGAATGGAGGAACCTTGGAAGAAGGTTTACGGTCACTCTTCTTGCAAGGGAAAAACTAAACAAAGCTTTCACCCAAGTACTGAAAGAAAAAATGGTTGAGGAAAAAGGAAGAGCATGACAGCAACAAAAACTAGAATTTACCATTTCCACTAATATCAAAGATGTACTGTTTAAAGGTGGTCCTTGCTTCACGGACATAAAGCTGAATGATTTTCTTGCGTTGAAACTGTGCGGTTGGGGCATTTTGCGTGCCAATCGGAATGTCTTGTTAAAGGAGTTATTCAGAAAACCCGCAAAGTATATCCGTGATGCGTGAGTATTGGTCAAAATACAGGCATTAGTTTATTATGTGTGGATGGATATTGCCGTATAGAATGAAATGGTTTTTGATGAGGATATACGCAAGCTTTACGAGAATGGCGTACACAATCTACTTTGGTGGTCAGAAGATGCTGCGGACGTAAAAACAACTGTTGAACGCATCACCAAACAGTTTTTGGATGCAGCCGTCATTGAATCGAGGAACCCAAAGAAGTCGAGGGCAGCGATTAAACTGGAGGGGCTTTACGAGTCTGTGTACAATGCGAGGTGGAGCCATGTGGTGGAAGTTCCGGACGGCGAGGGGACAGGAATGAAGGTGAGGGAGGGGGAACCACCGCAGCCATGGAAGTAAATGGCAGTTGGCCGAATCCTCGAAGAGGATGACGGTGTGGAGGAACCCGGTGCACCACGTCTCAGGCTGGCGGTGCTCACCTCGGACAAGGGATGGCCGTACTCGTAGAAGGAGGACGTCTCGATTCGTGACTGCCATGTGAACTGTGAGGTGGAGCGAGTGTGGCAGATCGTCAAAGGCAATGTAAACAAATGGTTTGACACTCACCGTGGGACCTACTTTGCGCCCAAGCGACGTGTGTTGATTGGGACGCCCGGGATCGGGAAATCGGTGGCTGCCGGATCGTACCTCCTCTACCAGCTGCTGCACTGCGATGTCGAGAAACTCCAAGTGGTGGTCCACTGTTTTGGTGGAGGAGATGCGTGCGTGTTTGACAAGACCACCAGAGCGGTGACAAGATACGGCGATGAGGACATGTGCATCTTGGAGTTGAGAAGTCTGAAAGGGCCATGGGAGGAATGCGTATATTATCTACGATGTGGCAAATGAGGGAACGCCGCCACCGAGACATTTTGCGCCCACTTCCGGAAGGGGCATGATTGCGGTGTCATTCCCAAAGGTAACCAACTGTGATGGGTGGGCGAAGCAAATACGAGCCGCGCGAGTCATCGTGAAGTGCCCCGACGAGATGGATGTGAAGGCGATGTGCGCATGGATAACGCGTGATGGGGATAAAGAGAAACAAGCGGAATACTGGAAGAGGTCGAAAAACACATGTATCTTTTGGGACCGATTCCACGTCACGTCTTTGATGAGGAGGCGTTTACGGAACGCTGTGAAGCGGTGAGGTTTGCATTGCAATCGATCAACGAGGTAACTGTGAAGAAGCACTTTTCACGGGAGGCGAGTCGCCATTGTATTCTGAGGACCCGTCCCACAAGCCTGTAAAGGTTGTTCGGGAAATATACGCAGGCGGCGAGAGCCTTTTCAATGCGCCGATATCTGATTGCCTCGAGGAACGGGCGTTGGAACGCTTCCCAAGTGCAACAGAATAAGATGGCTTTTTGAGGCTGATGTTGGCGTCGAAGGATAATATTTTGCCAATATTTTTTGGATGGTTTGCTTTGAAATTGTGCACGGAGAGTGCCTTTGTCAAGACAATGGGGACGAAACTCACGGAGTTTGAGCCACCAACAGGACGTCAAGCAAAGCCCTGCGTTTTGAAGTTGGCCACTGAACCGCATCCCAAGGGAGATGAAGGTTTGCTGCCGAGTGAATATGAAAAAACGATCCGTAAAATAAAGTACGGGGTGCTGTACAAACCGGCGGTCAAACACTTTCCGCTGGTGGACGCCTTTTTTTTCTTGGTGTCCAATCCAATGACCCTGGTTGAGCTGCGGATGACTACGGCGGGTGGACAACACACCACCGCCAGCACTGTGAGGCAGTTCACTGAGTGCCTGGCGGCATATTGTAATGGTTGGGAGGAATCACCCCAAGACATGTCGTGGGAGATTATTTATGTGCAGCACGCAGACAGCACGCCGATGAACGACTGGCAGAGATGTGATGTTGTCGATTCCAATAATGTGGGCGACGCAGAAAACCGTGAAATAGCGGCGTTCTGGGAGGAAGAAGGTGCGCCCGTACCTAGCAGCAATATCATCCTCTGACGCCAGAAGAGACAAAGCTCTCCGGAGGTGGGGAAGAACAAAATAGGAAAACGAATTAGGAAATGAAGGGGGTAGTTTTGACTTCTGATAAAAACATATTGTGGGATTTATATATTTTTGGATACTTGTGTGGCTACGGTGCGGGTGTGCCCGTACCGGGCGGTAGTATATCAGACAGATTCCAAAAATGCCCAGCTCTATCCAACATAACAGTGACCGAAGAAATTAGGGAGGAAATGGGGTTGGTTTGTTTCTGCTAAGTAGCATTGGGTGATTTTCATACAGCATGTTAATTGTGTGTGCATAAGAGGCATAATCGTGGAATTGCCCGGCATAAAAAAACAATTGTGGCTGGCGGTGTTATGGTGTTGCCGCATTTTCCATTTTATTTTATTGTGTTTCAAGGCCCACCAATAACAGAAGCATCTTTAAGGGATAAACAAAAAATAAGCTGTATTGATAAAATGGCGCACCCCGTGTAACCGTACGGAGTGGGGCACCGCGTCATGGATGGCGGAGGATCCGTTTCCACGTGTAACTTGAGTGGGTGATTGTTCGCTCGCTGTGCTTTGTGTGCCGGCTGCGGGGCTGTGGCCGTATCCCGTTGGCCGTGGGATTGAGCCGGAGGCGGTGGCGGTGTGTCTCTTTTTCTTGCCCATTGTGGGTGACTGCTGGCGGTGTGTGCGTTTGTTGTGTGGAGGACCAAATCCTTCCACGCGCGGTCTGGCAGCACTGCAATGGTATGTGTGTGTGTGTGTGAGGGCTGGTGTAGGCGATGGTGCTCCCCGCTGTTCCTTCCGGATTCTCTTGTGTCCCGCTCTTTGCATGGGTGCTCTGCTTTGCTCCCCACGGACGTGTCCGATGTATTGCCGCCTTTTTCTTTCTCCACTTGTTGAGCACAGACACACGCTAGGAAGGAAAGCAAACAAACGCTAATCGCCACTGTGAAATTCTAAGACTCTAAAAGGACAAACAGCAGCACACACACACACCGCCCACACACACATATTTACATGCTCTCACGTGTTTTTGCTGTCAAGGCACCCAATAAACACAACCGTCGCGGCGTGACCGCATCCAGCGGAAGGAGGAGGAAAGGAAGAGAGAGTGAGCATCGGAGGCCCAACATGTCCCGGCGTGTGTTTACTTCCGCTGTGCTGCTCCTATTTGTCTTGTTGATGTGCTGCAGTGGAGTTACGGCCGCTCAGGTGGGAAGTACTGCTGATGCTTCAACTTCTGGGTCGGCATTGACGGATGCCATTGCTGGAGAGGGGAGTGCTTCAGGGGGTGTTGAGGAGCTGCAACGGGTCGATCTGTTTGTACCGCGGACGACGCAGGTGCTGCCGAAGAAGGGGACTACTGGCTCAAGTTGGAGGGATTCATTTGTTTCACCCTCTCTCGTCAGTGCTGGTGGAGTAATTGCTGCTTTTGCCGAAGGTCACATAAATGCCAAAAAAAAACATACCGAATCAACTAAGCCGTCTTTTGATGTTGTTGCGGAGTACATCGACTCTGCGTGGGAGTGGCCCACTCTTGTTGAAAAGGTCAAAAAGGAAGAGTGGAGTGCACACACTGTGCTTGGTGCATCGGAGGGAAAGGGGAGCTTGGATGTTGTGTACCGCCCCACAACAACCAAGAAGGGCAATAAGGTGTTTCTTCTTGTGGGAAGCTCCAATTTGTCCTACGTAAATGGTAAGGAGTGGAAACGGGGCAGCTTGGAGCTGAAACTGGTTGTTGGTGAGGTCACGAATCCCACGGGCAGCGAGCAGAATAAACGGATCAAATGGGGCGAAATCAAGTCTCCGTTGAACCAGACTACTTTGGCTGCTCACAAAGGTGAATTGAAGGAGTTTGTTGCTTCTGGTGGCTCAGGTGTTCTGATGGAGGACGGTACGCTTGTGTTTCCACTGATGGCGAAGAGCGGAAATGGTGACGTTTACTCCATGATCATTTGTTCGACGAACAACGGCCGTACCTGGGCGCTTCCAGAGGAGACTTCTCATCCGAAATGCTTTAACCCCCGCATCACCGAATGGGATGGATCACTTCTCATGATTGTTGACTGCGAGAATGGCCAGAGGGTGTACGAGTCGCGTGACATGGGGACAAAGTGGACGGAGGCCATCGGGACGCTTCCAGGCGTGTGGACCAAGTCACAATCGGAAGACTATCCGGACGGAGGCTTGCATGTGGATGCCCTCATCACCGCAACCATTGAGGGAAGGAAGGTCATGCTGTACACTCAGCGAGGGAACTTCTCGGGGAAGAATAAGGCCAATCCGCTCTACCTTTTGGTGACGGACAACAACCGCACGTTTTGTGTTGGACCGGTTGCCGTGGAGGAGGCTGCTGTGAGGTGGGAGTTTGCGAGCAACCTGCTGTACTCGGATGGCAATCTGCATCTTTTACAACGGAGGGGCGATTATGAAAGCAGTGTCATTTCACTCTCTCGCCTGACGGAGGAGCTGAGTACAATCAAGTCCGTCCTCAGTACTTGGTCGCAAACGGACGCCTTCTTCTCCAGCTTTTCTATACCCACGGCGGGTCTGGTGGCAGTTTTGTCCGATACGGCCAGCAATGGCACGTGGATCGACGAGTACCTTTGCCTGAATGCGGCGGTGACAAACGCCACGAAGGTAAAGGATGGATTTCAATTGACGGAGTCCAACTCCGGGGTACTATGGTTTGTGAACACTCGGGATGATAATGTGCGCCATGTATCATTGAGCCACAACTTCACACTTGTGGCGTCGGTGACCATCGAAGATGTTCCGAGTAATAACACTCCTCTACTGGGTGCGATGTTGGCGAACACTAATTCCACGCATACCATGGGAATCTTGTATACCGCG